AAATGTAAATGTACATACGTAGTAAACGAAGGATAAAACAGGTGAAGTGGCGGAAGATCGGAGAGTCGGGAGCTTTGAAAGACGCGAAAGGGGGTGCTGTGAGACTGTGAGTAATAAGTTGAGTGCTTGAGCAACAACATGCCTACCTTAATAACAAGGATTTTAGGGATTGATCAGCGAGCCTCTTGTCCTCTAAAAATCGCTCGGTTAATGCGGCAAACCCTCTGAACAGAAACTTTGGGAGATCCGAGTATGCCGGAATTCGTCAGTCTTATTAAGAAAAAAACACGGGATTATGATAATAGAGAAGAACATGTGATGTGTTATTGTTTTTTTTCTTTCTCACCGAATCGAGATATTTCGGTGTTGATGTGATAAATCAAATACGGGGCACAGTGCCTGTTTAGATCCGAGGCGTCCCACATGCATCATAATCACCAAGTACCGCAACTGCCACGTCCAAGATTATGACGTTATTCTAAATCCTTCGATGTTTATCTCTATCCACTGTGATTTCACCAACTTTCAAGAACCCTCTCTCAATCTTCAATATTTTGACTTCTAACTTCCTGACTCAGTTGTTATACTACTGTCTAATATAAAACGTCATCCACAGAAAGCTACTCGAACAACTAAAACACAACGGCAGAGTGTGTGACAGACAAGAGAGAACAAAGCATTGCTCATATCAACTTTTCCCAAAATCCGTCGCGCCGCCGTCCTTGCCCCTCGTCCCGTGCCAACTACTGCATGCAGTAACAGAAGAAAAAAAGTAAATAAGATATTAGACCCCTAATTCTATCACTGCATCTTTTCGTGCGTTGCCATCAGAGAACCTAAAAAATGATAACATTAGCTCGATTTTCAAACACACACATACATGTCCAATAAAAAAAAAAACTTACCGATAAACGTTGTGACCAAGCGGCTGCGGACCTGGCAAATATCCTCAGGTACCAGCCAGATAGTCGCACCCATCTTTCTTGCAATGCTGATACTGAGCTTGGCATTGAGGTAAGCGTCCTCGTCAGTATGACCAGGGGTAACGAGATCGTAATCGACGTAGCTGCTCTTCATGCCGTTAAGCACATCAAGCAAGAAAACACCGGACCCAATAGCGGGGTCCTTGAACGAACGGATGCTCGAGTTGCGGCCACCTTTGCGGCTCATATCGTTGGCCCATCTAACCATTTCAGAGTCGGTGATCTCACGCTTGCCGAGACGTTGAGCCAAGCTCTGAAGAGTGACGGTGATGTTCTTGCGCATGAGCTGCCAGACCAAGCCGAGGGTGAGAGTGCGCTGGCCGTCGGTGATGTCGGCACCCTGGATACCGACCAGGGAGAAACCGTTCTGCTTGCCGAGCTCAATGGCATAGTTGGTGTTCTCGACAGCTTTGAAGCGCATGAGCTCACCGCCATTCGCAGGAGGCTTGTTGACGTGGCGCCAGTTGACCGAGCCCTTGATAACCTTGTCGTAGGCTTGAAGGAGGACGGTGCCGTCACGGAGGTCGTCGAAGAAGGACTGGACCGCGGGCTGGACATCCAAACTGTTGAGCCAGAGGGTGAAGACCCGGGCTTCCCGTTCACCCTCGGCATCAAAGTCGTCAACTTGGAGCTTCTCCTCCTCGGTTATGGGCTCGAGGCAGGGGTGAGTGTTGAAGAGGTTGGCAACGAAAGCGAGGTTGAGCTTGGGGTTACCGGCAACGAGCGAGGAAGGCGTCAAGAACTTGCGGCATCCGAGCTTGTCTGCGTTCTGGAGCACTTCCTCGGCCCTCTGGTGAAGATCCCGCGTCTGAAGAGGAGCCCGAGTGCAGCCGTACTCTGAGCCAATCTGCGCCAACAAAACTGTGTAGTTCTCAGCATCCTTGACATCGGTCGAGAAGTTTGCTACCCTCCTTGGCCAGTTGGCAGCCTTGAGGTGGTAGTTGACCCAGCGGATAAGGATCTGCTCAGGAGGAAGCCTGAGGAACTGCTCCAGAGTCTCATCCTCCTCGAGAAGCCTGTAGAGCTCGGGGTGGAGCTTGATGTCAATCTTGCCCAACAGGCCACGACGGATGACCTGCCAGATCAGGCCGAGGATAAGGTGTTCTCGGACCTCAATGATATCCCCACTACCAATGTTGACAACCGAGCAACCTATACCCTTTGCTGATTCGATAACGATGTTGTTGTTCTCCGTCATCTGGAACGCATTCAGCGACTTGCCCTTCTTGGGACGGTTCAGAACACGCTCATCAATTGTGTCTGGGACACTGTCGTTGATAAGCTTGGCGAGAACCAGACCATCCTTGCACTCGTCGAACATCTCAAAGGTGTCGGTCGGGAAGGGCAGGCGGCTGCCGATGTCAGCGTCGCCGGCGAGGACGGCATTGATGTGACGGGTGAATTCGGTACGTTCATCTTCGTTGATGGTGTGTGTAATGTTGGCGTTCGAGCCTTGGACAAAGATCTTGCCGCCACCTCCCAGACTGGGCTTGGAGGCATGGCCATGACCGCCGCCGCCGGCGCCGCCTGTTCGTTGGGCGATCACGGCAGCAGGTGAAGCGGCAGCTGCGGCTGAGACCTTCTGGGGGCCAGAATCGCGAACTTTGGCAATGAGCTGCGAGATGCCGGGTTAGCTTTGTGATTCTGCTGTTGTGTTGAAGCAGAATGGCACCAAATTGGCGTGGCAAGCTCTCAGGGGGAGCTGAACATTTTTAAGGTTTTCACCAGGGAACCAAACATACCCCCACATAATCCTCCAGCTCAACTCTCCTGGAGGAGTCAAGCTCAACCTCCTTCAACGCCTGGCGGACGACATCGTACGGCTGGCGCTCGCTGGCCTGGGTGGCCTTGATGGCGGTGGCCTCGTCAATGTACCCCTTATCGTCGACGTCGAGCTTGCGGAAGGCGTCGGCCAACGAGAAGATGTCGTTTTGCTGGAACTGAGGGAATTTCCTGCGACGAGAACATCAGCATTGGCTATCCCACGAAAAATGCGCCATCGCTTTGAGTCTTTGTTGTTGGGGATGGGGCGTGGAGTCGCTCACCTCTGAAGCTTGAGGACATTCATGATGATGACGTTGCGGGGGGGATCTAGCGATCCGCAGATTCAGGGGGTTATTGTAATGTTCTACCAAATGGTCTGACGATGCTTGCAAAGAAAATAAAAAAATTGCGCGAGGATTCGAGAGACACGGGTATATCTTTGTCAAAAAAGGGAGCCCGAAACGCCGCGCAATGCAAACAAGTTTATGTTCGCAAAAGTCGGGAATCAGTCGTAATCGTGCGATTTTAGAATGCCTGGGAAGGGAATGGGAGCTCCTTGCAAACCACTCAAGTCCACTTCACCTAGTCCAGTTGCAGTTGGGTTGGCGGGGGCGGGGATCCTCAGGGCGTACCAGGGTTCAGCAGGCTACGGCCATCGGCGGCTGCGGTAAGCATGCGCCGACCGAGGGGGACTGATGTAATGCGCCTGGGCATTGAACCAAGCCACGAACGGGATTGCGTAACGGCCCAATCAAGCCTCCCAGGCAGACGCAGCGAATCCACACAATCTGGAAGGGGTCCATTCAAAAGATGCAGCCAGGATCCGTTAAGGGAATACGCAGTTCTTTTTCGATTGGCTGAGGGAATAGGCAAAAGTTTCAGAGAATGCCAAGTATCCCGCTAACAGGTGAGTTGAACATAAAATTTCCTTTTTGTGTCTTTCTCTTGGCATCTTGGGATAACCTCACGCTCACAAATTCCAACAACCCGTCGGAGTGAAGCCTATTTCGAAGAGAAAAAAAATCTCAAATTAGGTAGCTATCTGTGCGACCAGCATTGGACTTGCAGCTCATCAGCGCTAACTCTGCAAACCAGATCTCCGTCACTCTACATCCATATACCTATCTTAGTCACACATAAAAAGATGGCAACCTGCAAATCCTGCTCCGATCCACTCACGCTGACCCTCGACCCCGAGGAATCAGGAGACGAAGGCCAAACCGTGCCCGATGACCTCCTCCTCCCCTGTTCCTGCCACTTCCATTGGCAATGCCTCCTCGACCAAGCTTCAACAGTCGCTCTCTCGCTGACCTGCCCCTCGTGCAACACCTACCTCCCTTCAACCCCTCCCGGTCCTTCCTCAACCAACAGCTTCCTGTCCAACAACGTCCAGTCCCAGATCCTAACAACCTACACCAACGAAGGCGGAGTCCAACCAGACCTCGACATCCTCCCCGTTTTGACCGAGGAAGCCTTTCTCTTATCCCACCCTGAGGCCCGCCCGGCAAGGGCAATGCACACCCTGGCTTCCGAGGGCGATTTCCAAGGGATCATGGAGCTCCTAGCCGATGTCGATGCCGATGAGGACATCGACATGTCCCTCGTCCAGTTGCTGGGATGGACTGATCCGTTGAACGGCGGGAAGAGCGCTTTGCATGTGGCTGTTGAGTCCCAGCAGGAGGAAGTCTTTTGGTTGCTGCTGTGGCTGGGCAGCGCGATCAAGACGGATTTTTTCCCGGAGCAGGTGCTGGGTGTTGCTGAGACCATGGGCTTGCCTAGACGGGGGACCGTCCCTGCCGAAGAGGATCTGAGGTACATCAAGGATGCCGAGGGGAGGACGGCAGGAGATTACTGCGCGCAAGCAGGCGGACAGTGGGCCAGATTTGCGGAGGGGGGTTTGTTTAACTGAGCGACCTGGAATTATTCCCTTCTTGTCAAGTCTACTTGGGATACCTTCTCCTCTACCTCCCCTCTCTACTCGAATCCTCCGATCCCGGTACCTTTATTCCAGTTCCTCCTGCTCTGGTGACCATCTTCTCATCCGGCACCCTTTCCAGCAGCGGTCAACGGGCCTTTAACACTTTTGCCGTCCCAACCTCACCACATTACCGCATGGGTCTGACAACACCGGCCGTCAGGCACTGCCATGCCATTGCTCCCCGTGCATGACACAGTGTTGCTGCTGCTGCCGTCTTGGCGCTTTATTATCCGCCATAGCTCTATACCATGACAACGAAACAAAAGAACCACTGAGCGCTCGTGGTGTAATTGGTAGCACGCGCCTCGCTCGAAGCCGGTGGTGTTGACGCCGAATCCTTCGAGGAATCTTCTATAACGGCCCTTAGTGCAGGAAACCTCAGTTGAGGTCTCAGTCCCGGTTCGAATCCGGGCGAGCGCAGTTCCTTTTTTTTTTTTTTTTTTTTTTGTGTCATAAAAGAAAAAAAAGGGTTAAGAATCTGATACAATCTTGAAAAGCACGAATGAGATGAAGGATAAACGAGACAAAAAAAAAAAAAAGAAAGGGGGGTGGTGTGGAAGGAAAATAATACAGCCCATTTGGTCAACCACTCGAGATCACCGAGCAAACATATGATAGAGAGTTTTCGGCAGTAGAAAGAAGCATTTGGCCAAGAAACGCTTCAATTCTAAAATAGATGGTAGACCATCCATAACATAGAAGTATAGAAGAAAGGAAAACGATTCTTCGAACCATATCCCCCTCGCACATTCCCCCCCCCCCCCCCAACCCTAAGAAGAAAAAAAAAAGCTCTCCATAATCCTCTCAAAACTAACCGCTCTTCAAATTCCTGTCTTTCAAAACTCCGTTAAATCCGATGCACAAAATATCCTGCTCTCTAATGCTGCTTTCAAAACCCAAAATCCCATCATCATCATCATCAACATCCTCAGCCCCTTTCTAAACATCATCTATTCTATCCCAGCCATTACGCCATTGCTCTCGCCCCCTTCCCAAACTCTATCTAGGCGTCCTAGCCTTACTGGCAGCCAACATCTGCGACAGCACAAAATGCGCCACGTCCTCGTCGGCCCAATAACTCATGTGCGAAGCGATGGTATTAATCGGGTTAAAATCCAGCACGCTCCTATAAATCATCAAAAATCACTTGTCGTCAGCACATTACAATTTTCTCTCTCTCTCTCCACTCCATTTCCCCCCAAACATGCGGAAAACTTACTCTTGAATGCAATAATCAACTCTGCCGTTCCGATTCAGCGCCCTGATCTTCATCTCTTCCCTCCTCAGCTTCTGCGCCTTCCTCTCCTCCTCGATCCACTTCTCCGACGTTAGTCCCGTGTTCCCCGCGCCCTCGGCCAAGTCGACCCGGTTCTTCTGGAACCGGCTGAAAAGAGTTTCCAGTTCATCGTCAATGAGCGTCAGCTCGTTCCCGCTCGTGGTAGATGTAGGAGCGCCGCTGCTGCCAGCTAATGCTAGCTGCCGTTTCCTTTCCGCTGTCCGTTCGGCTCGCTGCGCGTCCGAGAGGTTGACTTCGTCCGCTATTACTCCTGCGGATATGTTGGTACCCGCTCCGGGACTCAGTGAGTAGTGTTGCTGCTGCTGTTGCTCATGGGAAGCCGTAATGTTCGCTACGTCGGTTTGGGTGAGACCCAAGCTGCGGTTCAGGATGTTGCTCGCTATGCCTGCGCTGAAGCTGCTCCAGAGGCCGCTGACGCTTTGTCCTACTTTTGCGCCAATGCCTGTCAAGCCTTGCGGGGCTACCGACCCAAAAATAGATTTCTTTGTATAGGGAAGCGCTTGAGGTTTTAACGTCGACATGGCCGTTGAGACGAGCGGCTCGAGGCGGTACGCAATGGGGTCCGAGGGGTGGAATATGTTGAACAGTTGGCTGATCTTGGGAGAAGATACGGTGAAAGGGTGTCCGGTGATGGGCGAGATGCGCTGGTCGGCGTTATAAGGTTGCGCCCTGAGGAAGGGGTCCTCCATGTAATCCGGGTTTAAGGGGCTTTCGGAAGGGATGGCGTTGGGTAGGTTGCGTGCCGAGATGCTTCGGCCCTTGAGCATCTGAAAAAGTCCGATTGGGGAGCCGAGGCAATAAAAGTCCTCGACATCGAACTCAAAGGTAAGTTCCTTTGGTTCCTTGGGTTCGTACCGGTCTTGGTTGGCCGGCCAAAACCGGGGGTGGCTTCGAGGGGACTCGTTGGTGATCTTTGCCTTTTCCTTTTGGCGACAGAGGATGTCGAACATGATGGCGGAGCCGAGAGAGTGACCGATAATGTGCACCTTGCCGTTGAAATCCGGGTTGCGTTCCTTGAACGTTTTATAAATCTGATTTGCCTCCCGTGTCACAATCTCTGCTATTTGCTCTCGGTAAGCGCTTTGGTAGAGCAAAACGTCGAGCGCCAGATCGGAGATTAAAGACCGCGCGAAGGCTAATCCCTCAATCGTGATATCTTCGAGAGACGGATATTCGTCTTCTTCGTCGAGAGCTTCGCCCAAATCATGCTCTCCTCTTTTCGACTTGCGCTTTGGGAAGTCGAGCTGATGACGCCACACCACCGGGAGCACTTGGACGCGGCAATTTCCCGGTCCAATCTCACCAATCTCAGTGTTCAGTGCTCGGAGGTCTGCAGAGGCCGAATACACATTTTTCATTGTCTTTCGAAGAATGTTGACATCGTGAACAAAGTTGATGCTGTCCATTCTGCGAGATAGAAGTTGACCGATGCCATGGGTGACAAGGACGAGATGCTCAATATCACGACCTTGGTTATCGCCGGCGCTCGTGTTATAGTCAGCGAGCATTTCTTTCTCCTCTCTACGTCGAATGGCTTCGGCTTCTGCGTCCGAGTCTTCAACCCCCTCGATCAGATTAGAAAGTTGGCGTGTCAATCGGTTTCTTGTACTTTCGAGGGGATCCGTCGTATCTTCCTCTGCCGAATCGTCAAGATCTATGTGCTGGCTTGATGGAGGCGCCGACCGTCTCTTTTGTGCCCTCGAAGTTGCGTCGCTCCGTTCCTTAGACACGGACTTGGTTCCTGATGGGGTTGTCGGTCTCTTGTCATCTTTGGCTTTATTCGGCTCCGCGTAGCCGCGAACCAGCTTCACTCCGCTCATGTACCCGCCACCAGCGAATTTCTGGTATACTGTGGATGTTACCCAGGATAACATCCCTTCTGAAGAAATCCAGCACGTGGTAGAATCATGATATGTGGCCACGCTGTTCATGTAACTCCCAAAGAGTCGATATGTCTGTGGTTGATGTGGGGCAGCGGTGGAAGCAGCTTTTGAAGACACATCAGTCTGAGCAGCCGGAGCAGCAGCTTTCAAATTGTCCGAAGAAGCCTTTGGAGTGACGTCCTTGTTTGAAGAGTTGCTGCGATCTCTCGCGGGGTACTGCCATGGCTTGGCCTTGAGATAACCCTCTTCGAGTTGCGCCGCCAAATTCTCCTCACAAGGTCGAAGAGTCGACCCCTCCTGGTAGAACCAACTGCCGCGTCGCACTTCATAGACAGGCCCTTCCCAGTAGATGGGCGCAAGTTCACGTTCTTCGATGTCCACATCGAAGAGGAAGTCTTCATTCACCGAAACTCTTGTCCTTGGCCCATCCTCTGGCTTGATATGAGCATTCTCCCCTGATACCACCCGTGGACGTTTCCCCCCTGCGCGCCCAAGGGGGTTTCCGGTGCCTGAAGCCCTGCCCTCTTCCAACTCCTGTAGCTTGCTTTGGTAGGCAGCTTCGATTGAGCGGGAATCCTTGGCGGAAAATGCGGCGTACTTCTTGGGCTGCACGGGTTTAGTGTCACCATTTGCCTTGGTTATCATAAACTTGGGTTTGCGTTTCGGGACCTGGAGAGGCTGTTAGCAGCAAGCACGTCACGGAACACGATTGCAGCAAGTGGAGGCCAAACGTACATCCACAGCATGGAACCACTGGACGTTCAGGGGTGGACAATCCGGGGGATAGCGCTTGATGCTTTGACCGTAGAAAGGGTTCGTCGTGTGATCCCCCGGATTGGGGTTTGACGGCGCCACATTCGGCTGAGGGTCCTTCGGCGTCGGCGTCGTACTGCGATTTACAGCCCACGGGTTTATCGAGTCGACGGCAGAGGCGAGATACGACTTCTCAGCCTTCTTTTCCGTTCCGGATCCCGATGCCATCCCGGGATCGGCCGGCGGCCACCCAAACGGAGGTTTACAAAGTCTCGTCGTCTGCCCGTAACGCCGCGATTGTGCTGTGTGTTGCCGCTGGAGGATGCAGCGCGCCACTCGGTATTTTGAGCGCCTCAAGCAAGCAATAAGATGCGCCAATGTGTCTGTTGTTTTGGAGGATCCTTGAATTCGCGGGGGAAAGGAAGTGGCCCAGGTCCTGGCAGTTTTTAAATGCTTATCGTTGCTAGTAAGCTGGAGACCCACCACTAGAGAACGTGATCCAGTTTCACCTCTTTAAAATAGGAAGTTGTCCCAACAGGGAGGCGCAGAGAGAGACATGTGAAGACGCTCGACATGTTGGCCTTTCTTTGGCCCTGGCCGGCCGGCTTCAGAGAGCTCCAGGCGACCGAGACCTGTGACAGCAAATGATGACGAGCAGTGCTGCCGGAAACGCTGCTGATTGGCTGGTGCGTCCCGCGTGGGACCGGGTACCTTGGCCAAGGGTAAGGTGTGTTGGATTCTGGCGCTATTCGCAGAAAGTGACCAAGCGAGAACCGGGTTCCAAAAGCGTCACGATGTACACCAGAAGTCAACTTGATATTTCAAGATGTGAACATGATCATTTTAACTTCGATTTTTCCACCTGCCGTGGTTGTGGTTGCGGTACCTTTTCTTATCGATTAGCATCTGCATGTATCTCTGCCAAGACATAAACCCCGACTCGGATCCTGGTCCTGGGCAATTGGCAGCAGAAACGGCAGCAGGGGTTTGGTCGGAGAAGCTGCATGGAATGGTGGGGGACGTGTCGGGATTGGAGTCATATCTTTTTTGGCTGCCCCGCCTTGCCGATAAAATTATTTGCGATTTTGGAGGGTCGGCACAAACCTTAATACTCGCACCTCGTCGTCGCCAACCCAACCCCGTCCGCAAACTCTAATATCTGTCGTTGGCTGGCTTAGATCTGACAGCAGTGGCAGACGGAAATCTGACAGGTTCTTTTTTTCTTTTTTTTTTTTAATCCTTTTCCACCAACTTGTTCAGTGTAGCCATCGAATTTATTCACCAACGTGCTTTCCCCATCACGAAGGACTCGGCGCATACCGATATGAATCGGTAGCACGACGATACCGCGGGGCCTCATCTATCTTTCCAAACCTGCCAATTGCTGGCATATCGCGACTCTCGAATCAATTCAGCGATAGCACCAGCCCCGGCGCACCAGGAGAGGCAGAAAAATGGAACCAACACCAGTCAAAAAGATTGTCCGC